GAAGAGTAAAAAGCAGAATATAGTGTCAAGATCAAGTGTTGAGGCTGAATATAGAGCCATACACTACATGTAAACTGATATGGCTGAAACATATTTTGGAATAACTTAGTTTTATTCATACACAACCAATGCAGTTAGTATGTCACAACCAACCTGCAATTTATGTAGCAAACAATCCAGTATTTGACGAGAGAACAAAGCATGTTAACGTAGATTGTCATTTTGTATGATAGAAAGTGTTGCGAAAGATTGTTAGCACTACTCATGTTCATCTAGTCATCAACTAGTTGATTTATTCACCAAAGCACTAAATGGGGCTAGAGTGAAATATTTTTGTAACAAGCTTAGAGCATATGATATATATACTCTAGCTTGAGGGAGAGTGTTAAGGGTTATGTAAGGTAGTTATATTGTATACAAGGAAAAGATATGTTAAGTGTTATGTAAGATAGTTATAATGTATATGAGGAAAAAAATACTACAAATGTCTACGTTCAATGTATTTATAGCCATATATTCATTATAAATAAATGAGATGATCAGTCTAGGAGACATAGACTTTTCTCTCAAAACTTTAATTTTGTTTTATATCTTTCACACCTTTCACCAGCACAATTACTCACCCTTTCCTCAAAAGATGCTATCAATTCATTATTGTATCTTTTACTGAAATTTTCTGTTGCACAGCATGTTCTTTAACTTGCTTTTTGTAGATTGATTTTGCATTTAGTGATGCTGAGGCTATTGAAGAAGGAACGCTTATCTCGGTTATTGGCGTCGGAGATTGCAAGGGGAGGAATCAATAGTTCAAGAGAAGGTGAGAAATGTTGTTGTTCATTGGCTTCAGGCTGTAGAATGTACTCTTTCAAGAACTACCTTAAGTTTATCTGCTTCTGTTCGTTGTTTTCTTGAAGCACATTTTATAATAGGTATGATATTCCATCTTTAACTTTGTTGACCTGAATGCCTCTGTATCAATGTTACCTGCTCGTATACAGTTAGAATTGTGTATTTTGCACTAGTTTCTTGTTCATCTTGATTTTCTTGATCAGAACTTTTGCTTAAATTCACTAACAGAATATACTGAGAACAGCTGACAGGCTTGTATTCTTTGCAACGGAAACACAGTACAAAACCCATGTGGATGGCTCAATTCCAGTCCTTGTGAAATCTGTAAGCCACGTGGATTATCTGGCATAAAATGCTGGCAATTATACAAAATTTGGCTTAGTCAGCACTTTTGACATCTCAAATCATGTCTCAGTATAATTGGATGGAAACTGCTGAAGAGATCGATGACTTGTTTTTAGGTGATGCAGAGGTACTCTTGATATGATGTTGCACAATGTCACTATGACTGCAAACTAGAGCACCTTTTTCACCAACTTTATAAAGGATACATTGGGTTGGAGTGGGAATGGAGGAACAAGAAAACTCACTTTTGTCTCTATTGATTTGCCCTAAAGTATAATCCAAGACATCCTGTCCCTTTTGCATCTGTCTATAACAGTAACATGGCAGTATATGTAATGTGCAATTCTTTGTTGTGGCAAACCAAACTCTCCTCTAGTGTATTCTGCTAGATCATCAATGTGGCCTTGTTATACTGTATATCTGAATATTATGAACTTATCATCCAAACAGATTGGCTCTGGCATTGGCTGTTAAAGAAAAATTAACTTCTTTTAAAATATTTTGGGACAGAAAAATGGACTTTTGGTTAATTATTTCAAAGTATCTAGCCACAGAAACAAAGTAACTTTTTTGAAGTACAACCTCTATGAGTTACAGAGAGCATGAATCAGGTTCCTTCTTTAAAAACATCCCCAAACCCAAAGCCTAGTTTTCTGGCATTTTGAGTGAAGGTTGATTAAACTTGCTGCTTAATATTATAGTAGCTCATATCATGGACTCACTCTATTCTTTTGTAACTGCAGGTGTGGAGGAGACCAGCTATAGGGCATGCTGGTCCTACGGGAGGAGACTTCCCACTAGTCACAAGAGAAGGGCATAATGTTCTAGATGTTATTTTTACATCTCCAATACTAAACCTTGGTATGATACAACTATCAAGAGCAATAACCTATTATATGTTTCTATTTCTTCACTTGATAATTTTTTTTTAGGAAACCATTGCTTCTATGTTCAGCTGAAGTTGCTAAAAGTCTTGAGAATATTGCTGGAGTTGCAGATCATGGGTCATCTCTAAGATTCCGTGAGTTCAAAGCTCCCTCTTAACTTTCTTCCCTGCCTGCTTATGTTTTTGCGTGGACTGGCATTTTGTTTCTGCTTAGTGGCAATAAGCACTTGCATAAACAAAGATCAAACTTTAAAAATGAGTTTATGGAAAATCAACTTTTATATAGAATTGAAAGCCACTGGAATTTTAAGATTTTGGTCCTGAACTTTATGGTTAATACTGTCAATCTATTTGCCTGTTTTGAGAGACCAAGTTCCATCATTATCATTGTAAAGAGTACAAAAGATATACTGGAATGTCAACAGAGGCATGGTAACTGATTTATGATATCTATAACATAATTGGTAAGATTTTGGACAACCTTCAAACCAAATGACGAAAGCTGTCTGGTTACCGAAGTTTGCACCATTTCAACATCATTAGGAGCCTTCATTGATGAACCCATGATACTTTGTTTCCAATAATTGATTTCCCAATCATTAAGATTCATATGTAGACAGATAATATCTGGACTCAAGTGACTTCTTTATTACTCTTTGTATTCATCATGAGCTGTATCATTCCATCATTGTACATCAAATCATTTTATGCCTCAAGTTTAAGTTGACAGATATATCAAGGTACTACATAATAAGCTCATAGAATCCTGGGATTGGATCGGTAACTTTGTGAACCCCATGTCACTTCCATGCACCGCACTAGAAGATATTACCCATTGATTGTGTATGCTTGTGATATTCCTTGCTGATTTTTTTGTGTGCATGCGGACACTCACAGGCACACGTGAGAGAGAGAGAGAGAGAGAGAGAGAAGAGAGAGAGAATGTGTTTTATTACTGAGTTTTCATGTGCTTAAGTGAAATAAATAATGCCAACTACCTGTGAAATGTGTTGTGAAATTGTCACTTTGTAAGTTTCCACTTTTGTTCGTAACTGTTGGTCTGGTCTAAGGTTTCGACCTTTTACTATCCTCCTTATTCATCTCTAGCCGAGGTTGCTAATTATTTCATTCACACAAGTCAGATCGTTCAGCATTCAACGGACTTCAGAATTAGGCATAGGGGTTGACAAATAAAATTGTCCAAAGCGCAAGGCTTAGAGACCTATACATAAGCTATGGCATTGAATAATTGTGAAGATGGACATTTGATTGTGAAAGATTAAATCAATCATAATTTGACACCTTAAAATATGATTTTATTAATATTGATTACATTTATGTTCCAAGTTCTTCGCTTGCTCCCAGAGACTGGGGTTATAGCCCTGATGCCTCTTTCTTGGCTGCTTCAGTTCTAGTATTCTAGGTTCCAGTTTGATATTGCTGAGCAAATATTATGTTATTCTTCATAGCCGAATGAAGTCACTTTTAAAAGACAGCCAAGAAAATAGTAATATAGCTGTTCAATTCATTATAAACGGATTTACTAAATTCATCTTTCCCTTGTTACAGTTAAAGATGATCCCTTTTGATTAATTAAATGTTTTCTACTACCCTCCCTTTTTACAGTTTCATTTGATTTACTCTTATATCCTCTCTTTTAACAGTCAGAATTGATTTACACCTTTGAAGATATCTATGAACTGGGTACATCTGCAGCCTTAAATCTGCTTGAAGTTTGCCATCATTGTTTAGTTACTTGTACACTTTCTTCCATTCTGAACGTGACTTTCAGATATGACTTACACATCTACAAAGTTTGGAAATGGTTTTAAAAGATCATTCTGTCTGCACTTTTTCTGAGAACAACAGACCAACTACGTTCTTCCCCACTCTCAACCCCTGTTTTAATAATTCTATAAACTGCAGTTGTATAGCAGTGATTGCTTCAGAAGATGGGGTCAGCATTTTGGAGAATCCACCAAAAAATGCATAAGGTGAATTCTATTGTAGATTCCTGCATTGACATTGTATATGCCTCTAGTTCTTTACCATGTTTTAAGTTTCTGATACACAGTTTGTGGAAAAGACGCCTCCAAAGTAGGGTAACTACATATTCAACCAAAAAGAATCTTCAATGTACGTGTCAATCTATTTCTTCCCTGTAATTTGGGGAGAAAGCCTTTTTAATATGCCTTATTTCCAAGTGAAAAGCCAGTTTTGTACACTTGGTAAACTTCGATAATTGTTTTGTATCTTTAAAATTTTGAGAATTTAACCCATGACATTTAGCTTCATTTTGGTATGAAGTCGACCTCTTGAGGCATCGTAGTCTGAATCTTATATCCTTGAGATCAAAGACCTAGGATTTAAAGATTTATTTGATAACACAATTAAGTACTTAAAAACTGAATGTATTCAGAGCTTTCAAAATTTTGTTTGCTCGATAACAACCCCCTCCCCCCCCCCCCCTCCCAACAACAAAACAAAAACACAACCCCCATGGAAATACAAACCACTCGCCATGATTGTTAACATGGACGGAAACTGTGCACGTGCATCACACGCTCACCCTTGTTAAAGACTTCCTCTTCTGGTTGAACGGGAAAATACCACACCTTCCCTCAATTCCCAAAATCCCAAAAACCCTAAACCAATGTTTAAAACCTAGACTAAATCAGATTTACTAGTTCGACCAGTTCAACCATGAACCTATTTTAAAAAAGGTCTAGGTTAACTTTAAAATTGGAAGTAAAATTGGATCAGTCAAAATTGATCAAATGGGCTATTTTTATCCAATTCTTTAAAACTAATTCAAGCAAACTGCACCCCTCCCCCTCCCTCTTAGTACAACTATTCAAAATTCAAACACTCCTTTAAAAGTCAAATTGTCTCTTACTCATTCTTTTTCTCTCTTTCCCCAATTAATTACTTGCCTTTTCATCCATTTTCCCCAAATTAATTAGTCAAAAAAAATCAAATCCCTCACCTGCCTCTCTTCTCCCCCCCCCCCCCTCCAACAAAAGAATACCCCTCTTCCCCTTTTAAATTTTCCAAGCCCCATCCCCCTCTTCTCTCTCCTCCCCCCATCAAAATTATATACATTTAAAAAATATATTTTGATTATTTTTTTACAATATATTTTATTTAATTTAGATATTAAAAAATATAAAATATAAAATATAAAAATAGTAAAAATTAGATTCTTAAAAAAAATATTTCTTAAAATTTTTAATTAAAATATATATATTTTAAATTTTGAGATGAACCAATAATAATAAAAATATGTTAATATTATTATATCATCTATAACCTTGAATATTGTATAAAATTTAAATAAAAATATACTACTCAACTATATTAAATTTATTAAATTTTTAATTTATTTTTTAAATATTTTTTTATTATTAACCTTATAAATTTTCCAAATCCCATCCCCCCTCTTCTCCCTATTCCCTCCCCCCTCTCTCCCCCCCCCCCCCCCCCCTTTTTCAAAATTATATACATTTTAAAATAATATTTTGATGTTAGAGAAGTGGTAGAGACGGTGAGGTGCTGAGCACAGCGGGGTAGCCGACAAGGCTATGGGGCCATGCAATTCCAACAAAATAGATTTTTAGCTTACTTATCTAAGTCCAGTGGCAATCTGCAACTACTTTCCCAAACCCCGAAGTCATAACAAGCTTCACCCTAGCACGTGAGGTTCCTGTGTGATCCGCTCGCCTTGCCACTTTGCAGCCAGTCTCTCTGGGTGGTCCGACACGCCCCTCAACAGTGGTCTTTGACAGTCTCCCCTAACCAACCTGCGACATCCTTGTTGACTTTTTCCGCAGATTCGGATTTGCTTTTGGTCTTCCCAAACTCATTCGGGTTGCATGTTCCACTAGTAACGAGTGCAATATCACTCTTCTCCTGGATCTGGCCTTAAATTGGAAGCTGCTTAATTGCATGCCAGGCCTACTGAAAGTGTTAAAAAAAAAAAATTTAAAATGATGATTTAGACATTTAAAAATTTCTAACCTAGTTTTACCATCATCATTTATAACCAAACGATACACCCTTTTTTCAATTTACTTTATTTCAATTCACTTTTTTCTAAATACGTCTATATATAAAAGTTAATAAAATTCAGTTAATATTTATTAATCCAAATGACTGTCACTTGAGAGCTGAATTTTACCTTCTAAATGTAAAAGAACTTGGGTCAGCAATTTGTCATGTTTCAAATTATAAATAGTCATTGCTTTTCTTTTTTCTCTGAATACATTTTTTTGTTACATTTTCCTTTCTTTTCTATTTATAAAATATAAACAAATAAAAATATATTTTTATTGATCACACTTTCACTGGGGAATTTTTTGTTGTAAAAGAAAACTGGGGATAAAAACAAATTGTAAAAAGTCATGGAATAATTACAGTGTCAACTATCAGCCTAAAATAAAGAGTTTTTCTCTTTCTATTACTAAAACGTATTTTCTCACAATGATATAGGATGGAAATTATTTTACCCCCCCCCCCCCTAAACTTTATTTTCTAACTTCTTTACTCTACTGAATTATATAATATATTATTTACCCTCAACACAACACCGTTAACTTACTGTTATATTATCTTACTAAACTCTTTAATTTAAGTACCGAATATTTAAAATATTTTTATTTAGAATAGTTAATTGTTAAAATTTTAAAAATTTAAATTAGTATATTATAATTCATATAAATATTATTAAATATACATAATTTTAAATATTAAATTAAAATATAGTTAAGTTTTTACAAAATTAATTCAAACTCTTTGCACAACATAACTAAATAAAAAATTACCAATTATAAATAAACAATTTGAATTTAGTTAAGTTTCAATTATGTCTCTAAATAAATTTAAATTTTATGTTCATAGTTAAGAGTTGTCAATGTAGCAAATTTTAATCTCATTCAATTTAAATTTGATCCAATTATCTAGGATATTTAACCAATAAAAGAATCGATGGACATAATCCAATTAAAAAGCCTGTAATCTTAAATAAATAAAGCGAATATGAATTTTTACTGATTCGATTCATTAAATATTAGAATCTAAAAATATATATAAATATACAATATATATTATATATAATATTGTAAATATTTTATAAGTACAATATAAACTTGATTTATCACGC